CCACCGTTGATGACATGTTCACAAGTAATTGGATGGTGGCAGATCAGAGAGAATGAGGCGGTGGTGTAGTCTCTTTGTTGGTGTGTGGTGGGTGAGTGAAGAGTGAAGAGGATAGTAAGTAGACGTGGCAGAAAGTGCTTACATGGGTTGGAATTTTGTGGATAGAAGTGCCACCTCCCAGATAACATTCTTGTGGCCCGAACACACAAGCCACACGTCCCTCTTTCGGCAAATTATTTTATTTATTTATTTATTACTTTACGTATCCAACTTAAGCTAAACTAATTCTATTTTTTTGGACTGAACAAAATTTAGACCCTAAAAAGTCCTTCTTTACCACTTTTCAGATAGAGGGGGTGAAAATGATGTATCTTTTCTCAAAATATATTGGAGGAGGTAAATTATGAGTTATCATATTTTTTTTAAGTTCTCACCCCATATTATACATTTTGTGTATAAAAGGGTCTTCATCTCCTTTGATCGGTTAAGAATGTACACTACTACCGGAGCAAAATTTTAAAATGATTAGTTAACTAACTGAGCTAGTCCTATAAGGCACCTCCTCTTTTTATTTTGTGTTTTTTCTTTTATCATTTTTTTTTTCTTTTGGGAAATATATATACAAAATGAATTATCTTAAGAGGCTTTTGATTCATGGAGTATAAGATTACCTTACGCAATGGTATTATATATTACATATTGAAAGGTAATGTAAGATTTTGAAAATGCAAGTTTACTTAATATTAACTTGTTTGATTAATGATTCTTTTGTGAAATTACAAAACAAAGTTGAAGACCTTTTAAATTAGGATATCTAATTTTCTCATATTCATAGAGAAACTAATACGTTTGCAATTTATTTAATTATAGATCATAATAATTTGATGTTTTGGTCAGACCACGAGGTGTTCTGAGCAGACCATAACTGTAGGAGGCACCTTTAAGCCTGTATCATACTAATTCCCGTTCTCATATGGTCGGCCCAATTAAGAGACAAAGTGCTGGCCATATTAATTTTTCCATACGAGAGAGGTTCAAACTAGGGATGGCAACGGGGCGGGGCGGGGCCGGGGAGTGGGGTCCCCGTCCCCGTCCCCGAATTGAATCCCCATTCCCCGTCCCCGCCCCGTTCCCCGATCGGGGATGGGGAAATATCCCCATCCCCGTCCCCGCGGGGATTTTTCGGGGACGGGGATTCCCCGCCCCGTTTTTTTTTTTTTTAATTTTTTTAATTCTTAATATTTAGGCCAATTTCATTATTTATGTGTTCACAATAGGTAATTAAAGGATATAATGTCATAATGTGCCTAACCAATCAGATAGCCATTAGGTCCAGCGAATTCTACATAGCGTATCTTGGAAATACTAGATTCTTTAAATGGCAATTATTCAAGCTCTGGACCATTCAAGAATGAAATACAAATTTGCTGCTGCTTTCAACTAGAAAATATTTCGACTGTTTTCAAAACAAAATAATATATATCCACTTAGAAACATTAAACTAATCACTATACGTAGTGTCTCATAGAAGCACCAGAACAAGTGTGCATTTCTGGCACTCAAGGTTTAATAAATTTATTCGGGGAATCGGGGACGGGGACGGGGATCGGGGATCGGGGTCGGGGTCGGGGCGGGGGATGCCCTCCCCGTCCCCGTCCCCGTCCCCGGCGGGGATGGGGAAATTCTCCCCATCCCCGCCCCCGTTCCCCGAAAAAATTCCCCGAACCCGCCCCCGTCGGGGCGGGGATCGATTTTCCCTATCGGGGGCGGGTTGAATTGCCATCCCTAGTTCAAACTCTCAACACCTCTTAAAGGACAAGAGTACATACAATCACTCATGCCAATCAAACTGGTTAATCATAACAACTTGATGTTTGGTCTTTACATTTATCATAATTCTCATGTTGGACTAATATCTTGTTGCAATTTAATGTGATTGTCTTCATTTGACTTAAATTTATGTAATTTATTTTGTTTTGCTCTTCATGGTATGAAAAATACATACTACATTTTTTTTCAAGACAACTTAACTGGTCGTGAATAGGAGAAGATGGCAACCTAGTGGGGATGAAGCAGGGGTGAGGATAGCAGTAAAAGTTTTCAATAAATAATTAAAAAAAAAAAAAGAAGCAAAAAATGAGTTGAATCTTTAAAGATATTACTCAAGTCATTTAATTGTAGGGTGTTCCAATTTTTCTAAACTCTATACAATCTTAAATGATGTCTAAGTATAATTATTATTGGTGTGAAAATGAGGAAAAGAGTGCCACCCTATGACTAATTAATATACTAAATTACTAATTGCCAAGTTTGAAAATGGTGCTTAATTTGATTCCTTACTCAACAAGACACAACCAATTGACTAGCGAATTTTGAAAACAGATTAAGGAATAAGGAATATGCCTTTTAAACTGAATGAATAAGATAAATACAAACTGAGTATTTTAATAGTGGTCTTGAATTGCCTGAATCATATTCTGATAAACATATTCTGAGTATTTTAGTTTTTCCTTTCAAAAAAAAAAATATATCAAAGTTTGACTAAAATTTGCCGTTAAATTAATGGTAGCTCTCCAAATACTTTAACTTTTCCGTAAATGATTGAGAAAAAAAACTTTTTTTTTCCAAAAAAGTCTACAATTATTTTTAATTTGAAGAATAAAGGGAAAATGGTCAAATAAGTCATTGAACTTTAGCTGGAAAGTCAATTAGCTCCCTAAATTTTTAAATGTGCAATTACATCCATCAACAATTTATTTTGATGCAATGAAATCCAAAAATCAGTTAATGACCTACTCTTACATGTCATTAGGACTCTGACAACCCAACGACGAGATTCCGATGAAATTTCATGCAACAAAGTGATTGCCGAATGGTCGTCGGTAACGGAGAAGGCGACTACATTGGTTGCCTTTTTTGGTGAGAAGGCAACCTTGGTCTCCTTCTCCGTGATTGGCGATCATTCGCCGGTCACTTTGTTACCTGAAATTTCACTGAAATCTCTCTGTGGAGTTGTCAGAACCTTAATGACTTGTGATAGAAGGTCATTTATTGGTTTTTGAGCTTCATTGCATCAGACGAAATTGTTGATGAATGTAATTGTACCTTTAAAAAAATTAAGGGGTTAATTGACTTTTCAGTTAAAGTTTAAAGACCTATTTGGCTATTTTTCTCAAAAATAAAATTGAGTTTACTTTCTTCTTCTTCTTCTTCTTCTTCTTCTTCTTCTTCTTCTTTTTTTTTTTTTTTTTTTTTTTTTTTTTTGCAACTAACTAATATTTGCAATTTTGCATTCCATGATATAAGAATACAAGACTAATTCAATTGAATTTTGATGGAATTATTTTAAATTCAATTATTTAATTACATTTATGTTATGAGTAAATAACTATTTGATACAAATGGGATGAAAGTATTTTTGAGACGGAGGCAAATTACCATTCATTATTTATGATTTAGTTATATTTTCATTACAAGTAAAAGAGATAAATTTAATGCTAACTTTTTTTTTTTTTTGAAAATAAATTTAATGCTAACTTATTATGTCCAAATCTGATTCACACAAATGGAATGAAAGTAGTATTTTTGGGAGGGAGGCAAATGATCATCCAGAATTAGTGTGTTATCCTTCATCTAATCATCTTTAGTAAAGTGCCAACTGTCAACATATAAAACCCCCATAAAAAGTAGTTCCAGGGCGGAAAAGTCATTTCAGCAACACCCCTGCACGGCGATAAATGCCGTTACAGATCTTTCACGCGAAAACATTTCCGTTAATAATCCAAATGACCCGGCTTTTCCCCTCGCAATGTTCGTTTTATGGTTCGGGGCCATCTGAGTAATCTATATTAATTTCGAGAGATACAAAAATTAATTTAAAGAGAATCATTATTTATGAGAATCAAATTCGGACTATTTAAAAAAAAAAATCACAAAGAGAACACATTTATTATTTGAACTATCTTATTGGATTGTAATATGACATTATCACACTATTAAAATAACACATTCCATACTTAAATTATAAGAACATAGCATTATTATTATTTTATTATACTAAAATTGTGATGAGCTTTAATATTGAGTTGTGAGCTATCTATCGTATTAACTTATACCTAATTTAGTAATATGTTCTATGAGATATACAGATATAACATTGGAGAGTCATTTATAATTAATTATTGAAAAATACTATCGATATAACATGATCACTTCGTGTAGAGAATGGATGAATGATAACAAAAGCACAAAAGGTAATGCACATGTACTGTGAGTAAAATATAATGGTTGATTTCATGATCAACCTTGTTATTAATGATAATATATATGATTTGTTATAAGAGCATCTCCATTAGTTTATTTTTTTTGTTGATTTTTAGATTGCCACACTCCCAACTTGGCGCGTGGTGTGCACCCGCCCGACTGGGCGCTTCTGGTGTGCCTCACGCGCACCCGAAGACAACTTCCTTTGTTTGCGGTGGGCTCCACTAGATCGGATAAAATCAATATTTTCTGCAATATCCTATTTTATTCTCTATTCCTTCTATACGCATTTTCATCTCAAAAATCTATCCTATTTTATTCTCTATCCCCTCTATACGTATTTTCATCTCAAAAATCTATCCAAAAAGTACTATTGTACTAATTACCTTAACCTTTAAGTTGTGAATCCTCCCAAGTTAGAGGAAAGTCGTCTATAATAATAATCCGTAGCATGGATGTCATGAGAACAAGAAGATTATTTGAGGGAGGCTGCTAAGATGCCATCGGATATCCCTCTATTTGATTTAATAAAAAAAGACATTATTGCTAGATTAGATTTAAAAAAAATATTTGTTGGCTAACGGCAACCGTCAACAAACGGCATCTCAACTTTGACGGAAACGGAACTCCGTAACCGTGGTACTGGGTAGGTGCTGACTGGGGAAAAAGAGACAGATGTCCGGTAGGCAACAAGGACAGTACACTCGTACCCTCCCAACTTAATATAAATGGGGACTACTACCAACGCTTTTTTTTATCCGACGGAATTTTTTCCAGTCTCTTCTTCACTGCCTTTTCCTCTTCTCTCTCTAGAATCAGTACGGTTACTTTTCTCTCTCTATATCTAGCGCCGAGAAAAACTGTATTGTATGGCCGCCAATTTGCAGAGCCGAGGAGTCGCGAGCTTTGGGAAGCTATTCGTGAGCAAGATCAGCTCAAACACTCGCAACTCCGCTTCCCTCTCTAGGTATTCGACTTCGCACATACTCACACACTGCGCTATATGTATATATAACGATTTATTCGCTTTTGATGAATTGATTCGCTGTCATACATGCATACACGATCGATTTTGTATGTGTTCGTGTATCTGTGAGCTCGTCGCCGTCTTCTGTTAGCTGTATTTTTGTGATTTATAACATTCATTTCTGTATTGTGTAAGGGTGAAGTTTTCAGTTTTTGGAGCTTGTTTTGATTTTTGATGGATACTTTCCTGCATAAGCAAGCTGTTGGAAAATTTTTGATATATAGAACTTGGAGTTTGGTGTTAGGCTTGAAGGTAATCTTTGGAAATTTGTTAGATCTGCCGTAGCAGACGATCATCACGATATACGAGGGCAGTACCTTTTGTAGGTTTGAGTATTTGGCCTGTTGAATCTAGAGTGGAAATTAAGTCTTAATTGAATGTTCTTTTTGCATGATGCTTTTTATTATTGCTCGCCTATGGATTATGGTACCATGATGATCTTTCTACTAGAACTAAAATCTGAAATTTTCTTATTTGTATAATCGATAGATTTGTCGTTCCTTTTTACTTTTCCCTGATTGTTGCAGCTGGGTGGTAGGTGGTGGGCGGTGGGTAGTGAACTACAGCTTTACTGGCTAAAGAATTGAGATTTTTCTAATATTTTTTTGGTGAGATATTTTCTTTAAGGGGTGATTTTTGAGAGTCCAAATTTAGTCTTTTTTTTTATTAGAACATCCATTTTTGGTCTTAGTATCCATTTTTATTCATTTTATCAACAAAATAGTTTAAATATCCTTAAATATAAGGACATTTTTGGTCTTTGAATGTTTTCAAAAAAATAAACATAAAAAATATAACGATTCAATATACTTTATATAAAAAAGATTGAAATGTCTTTGTATTTAAGGATATTTCAACGATTTTGAAGATGAAGGATTAAAAATGGTCATGTCACAATAATATTATGACCAATTAAGGATGATCTAATTAAAAAGGATTTGTATAACTCTTTAGTCATGGACATTAAAAAATACCATGTTGGTCTTGGGTGGGCGAATGGAAAAGGACAATTGACCCATCCTGATGGCAAAACCAAGGATTTTTGCCTTGTAGCAGGGTATAGTTGTAATTGCCTCTCTACTCTTCTTTAAAGTATTGATGCAATCCAAGAGAAGAGTACGGTTTTCCTATCTAACCAAACAAAGTTAGTAGCATCGGATTGGACATGTGGGGTTGAAGTTATCTCAACTTTCTGAAGTTTTCAAGGTGGTTGACTGGTTGTCCGGTAGTTGGTTAGTGATAATCCTCATTGAAGGGCACTTCTTAATGCCCATGTGCCCAACACAAAAAAGATGAGTAAAAAGTTAATCTTAATAAAGTAGAAAAGGAAGAAGAAATAGCCATAATAGCTGATACATTATTCATTTAAATTTCTCTTCTCCCAAACTATGTGCTTCACTGCTTGTTGAATGATTTGATCTACCTGCATCTCTATTCTATGGTTGACATATTGATTCAAAATCTTGTTTAAGGCTTTTAGTGATCAACTCCGAGTTGCGCTTTATGCTCCCAAATTTGGTCTGGTTAATCTAGTAAAGCTGATTCTGTTTCTGTGCATACATGAGCATTCTGTTCCATATTTAGTTCTGCTTTCCCAGCAGCTTATAGCTTTTGATCTTATCTAAAGGCAGGCCACTGATATCAATGTAGAATCAAATCTGTGACATGTGTAAGCTTTTGATCTACTGTAATTGTTTGCTGTACTGATCACGTGGTTATTAGCCAATGCCTGCGGGCACCAAAAATCTTGGCATGTGACTACCTACCTCGTGTCTGTTGGTCATACCCACAACTGGTGTAATATTTATCTAGTGTTGAGATTGTAAAAAAATAGTGTTGGGACCCAAAGGAGGGAACACAAGTAGGTGGCTGTGGCAATATGTATTAATGTCAAATGGATCATTATTATTATTATTATCATATTCTGACAAAACCAAACCTCATTTCTCCCTTAATACCTTGGGCGTTTCTAAATCACTTTGATTAAACTTGTTCAGGAGGGGTGTACACGTCTCTGTCTACGACAAGAACCCAGAGGAGAATGCCCAGGCATCTGTGGTCCCAGATGAAGTAATCCAGCCCCAATCCGATAAGTACTGGGCTCCTCATCCTCAAACTGGGGTGTTTGGCCCAGACACTGACAACAACCCTGCTGCTGCAAGTGGGGAGCGTGGTTTCCACTCTGCATCGCCTGGCACTGTTGACTCCGTTTTGGAGCAGAAAGCCTTCTTCCGCCCCCTCGAAGATCTGGAGAAACCTCAAGTCCATCCCTGATTTCTTCCAGACAGCTAAATCCTCTTTATATGTTATATCAGATTAAAACTATTGTGGAATAGTACTTAAGTAAGCAAGGATTGGTTGATCCTTCTATGTGTGTGTAGTATATAAACCTAAGTGCAGTAGAGTTAATACTGCTGCTATGTTCATCTGGTACTGTAATAATCTCTGCTACTATTGCGTACTGTGGATGTGTGTGTCCTTGGTGTGGCTTTATATAAAAAAAGTTAGTACTTTTGTCATCTTTAGTTCGTTCTTTGATATCTTGATATTTAGTTGCCACGTGAGTAAAGCGAAAATTGTTGAGGTAACCTATTGGCCCCAGAAGATAGTCTGTTGCTCCTTCCTAATCTATCTCCACATCAAGCTGAATCAGCTCGGCCCTATTTGGATGTGTAATTGGGGTCCTCTACAATGCGTGCGTGTCGCTACTAATGGTGTTTCTAGAAACCAACCCAACCCAACCCCCGGCGTAATCTAATTTAGTGACTCATTAATTGCTTTTTTGCCACGACAGTGCTCTATATATAGACCCATGCCGTTAATTTCGGATAGTTATGCTGTGGGCTCGTGCCCAGCGTGCTTCATGCGCACGGATAACGGTGCCGTCAGGCACTGTTATCTTTTTTTTTTTTTTTTTTTTAAAAAAATTTAATTTCAGACCGCTTCGTTATAGGAGCATATATTCACAGCTTTGTGTTCATAATTTCATAATTGTACATTCATAATTCCATAACTGTACATTCATAATTCTATAACTGTACATTCATAATTCCGTAACTGTACATTCATAATTCAATAACTGTAAATTCATAATTTTCGAAGCTCTATGTTCATAATTGTAAGTTCATAATGTCAGAGTTCTATGTTCATAATTTTATAACTGTACATTCATAATTCCATAACTGTACATTCATAATTCCATAATAGTACATTCATAATTCCATAACTGTACATTCATAATTCCATACTGTATATTCATAATTCCATACCGAACATTCATAATTTTCGAAGCTCTATGTTCATAATTCCATAACTATACATTCATAATTTTATAACTGTACATTCATAATGTCATAACTGTATATTCATAATTTCATAACGAATATGCCGTTAACGCCGTTAACGGCGTTTCGAATAATTTTTTTTTTTAATTAAAACAGCGTCGTTTTTACGGAAAACGACGCCGTTTTAGCGCCGTGCGCATAGCATAATTTGCCGTTAATTTCTGTCTCTATTAAATTGACTTGACCTTAAATTGTTTTAATCACCACTTTCAGGCAACAATTAAAAGACCCAATTCCGCAACCAATACGTATGATATTTACCACTTTCAGGCAACAATTAAAAGACCCAATTCCGCAACCAATACGTATGATATTTACCACTTTCAGGCAACAATTAAAAGACCCAATTCCGCAACCAATACGTATGATATTTTTTATCTTACTTTCTTGTGATGTTTTATCAGTTGAGGATCGCAAGGCAGAATTTATTCAATGCACATTTTTAAAATTAATAAAAGATATTTTCGTCACTAATAAAAGATAATTTTCATCTAAGTGTCTCAAAAGAATGGTAGAATGAATATAATATAACGCTTATATTTAAAGATCTTGATTTTAATTTTTGTCAACACTCTCTTGATTGAGCAACTCATTATTGAAGAGTTATCCAATGTGTTATTAGATAATCTTGATTATGGTTTCTCTCATAATAAATTTAAAAATAAATGAATAAAACAATCGAGTGTGCACAGCCCATACGCAATAGTTATGCTGTGCAACCGAATGCACCATGCGCATGGTGCATACGATGCAAAACGACGTCGTTTTGACTAAAAACGCGCGTCCCATTAAAAAAAAAATCGGGTTCGATTCTCGGCAATAGCATTATTGTGGATATATAGTTATGAATTTCCGGATATATAGTTATGCATTTATGGATATTTAGTTCATTCATTGTGGATATTTAGTTCATTCATTGTAGATATTTACTTTATTCATTCACTGTGGATATATAGTTATGAATTTATGGATATTTAGTTCATTCATTGTGGATATTTAGTTCAATCATTGTGGATATTTAGTTCATTCATTGTGAATTTTTACTTCATTCATTCACTGTGGATATATAGTTGTGAATTTTTACTTCATTCATTCACTGTGGATATATAGTTATGAATTTGTGGATATATAGTTATGAATTTATGGATATATAAAAATACTATTGCCGAGAATCGAACCTAATTTCTTCTTTAAGTGGGACGCGCGTTTTTAAACCAAAACGACGTCGTTTTGCATCGAATGCACCATGCGCATGGTGCATTCGGTTGCATAGCATAATTTGCGGCCCATACGCATATGGATCTAATACTATGAAGTCTTCACTTATTGGGCCTATTTGGATTGACAATTTTACACAAGGATAAACCAGCCCGGAAAGCCGTGGCTCATTTTTGCATTAATCTTTTCGTCTATTGTATAAGAGGCTAATACATAAACCCTAGCTCGGTTTCTTCTGCCGAGCAACAAAGCCGAAAGCTCCTTTACCTGTTTCGTAAGTCTCAACCTGCACTTGAGCTTTACCTTAGTTTTTTTCTCGTTTACGTAGCATTTGTTGGTTTTGTTACATTTTTCGTGATATCAATTTGCGTCAAAATTTGGTATTGGCATGCTTTTATTGCGTAGTTGAGCTGAATACGGTTGCTTAGTCCAAATGGGATGCAACACTTTGTTGATGTTTAGTATCGTATGCAAGAAATTATAGTACACACTGTTTCCCTGTTCATTATGTAGTTCAATCTTGAGATTAGTTTAGCAGTTATTATTTTTTTGCATTGGGTAATGGTTTTCAAAAAGTTTGGGTTATCATATTTCTGTGTTGTGGTGTTTGATGGCTGCATGTTTCAGCCAATTGTCGTTTCTGTCTCTCTGCAGTAGTTGAAATAACATTTCTATCCTAATTTCATAGGATTAGAGGATTTGCATTTGTTTCATTTTTAAATTTATAGATTATTTGTTCACTTGCGGTCCTATATATGATTAGTTTTGAAGCTTTGGACTTGCCCATAGCGTCTAAAGATGTGTTGTGTTTGTCTTGTAAACAGTAGGTGAGTAATGAAACATAACAATGTTGTGCCCAGTGGGCACTTCAGGAAGCACTGGCAGAACTATGTGAAGACATGGTTCAACCAACCTGCTCGCAAACAAAGGAGGAGAGCTGGTAAAAGTCATAGTTCCCTTTTTATTTTTTTATTTTTTTTAAAAGTATATATTAAGGTTATTGAGTTAATATCATATCATATGAGATCCTCCGAGTGTGATTTTGCCACATTTAGTCGTAAACTTTCAAATTGACCATCCGTGGTTCTTCGACTTTCAAAATGTAACTAGTCGTGGTCCTGCCGGACCATGGGTGGTTAAAATTTAATAGTCAAGGATCACGGATGGTAACATTTTAAAAGTCGAAGGACCACAGGTGGTCAATTTGAAAGTTTAGGATTAAACGTGATAAAACCACTATATTCGGAGGACCTTAGATGGTATTAACTCTAAGGTTATTATATTGTTATATGTTGTAACATGGTAAGATTTTGAAGATGTTTTTCTTCATCCCGCATTGGTATTGCATAATCGTGTAGCTTCTTATATGGCCTTTTTCACTGACTACTAGATTGGTGATGCTCAGTTTTCTATCTTATTTTCAGCTAGACAAAAAAAGGCTGTTAAGATTTTCCCCAGGCCAACTGCTGGAGCCCTTCGCCCAATTGTCCATGGGCAGACACTCAAGTACAACATGAAAGTCAGGGCTGGTAGGGGATTCTCCCTCGAGGAGCTTAAGGTGGGTTGGGTACTTGGGTCGATTTGTTTTTTTTCCATTATTTGCTTTTCACTAATGTTCTTAATGGCATACAAAAGGTTCCTAGTAATTTACACCACTCAAGGACCAGCCTTTGCCCCACCTTCCTTCAAAATAAGAAGAGGGCATACATAAATGAAAAGAATTTGTTGCTTTAACAATGGTTGGTGTGAGTGGCCGTACACTCTCATCCCTTAAGAGAGGTCGGGAGTTCAAACTCCCTCGTATAGAAAAATCAATTTGGCCAGCACTTTGCCCCTTTATTGGGCTGGCCCCGTGCGAATGTGGATTAGTCTGAGTATGGTACGATCTTAAACGTGCCTCCTACAGTTAGGGCCCTACTCAGGACACCTCATGGTCTTAACAAAAAAAAAAAAAAAAACTCTATGACTTGATGGTTTACCTTTCAACGAAATATTATAATCCTTGTTCATCTTACACCAGGCTGCAGGTATCACAAAGAAACTGGCACCTACAATTGGCATCTCAGTTGATCACCGCCGTAGGAACAGTTCGCTTGAGGGTCTTCAGGCTAATGTTCAGAGGCTGAAGACTTACAAGGCCAAATTGGTTGTCTTCCCAAGACGTGCTCGCAAATTTAAGGTCTCAAATTGGTGGCTTTCACTTGGAAAACAATGAAATGTTGTCATTTTAACACTACATCTCATTTCCTTTATTCTTTTATCTTGCTTCAGGCTGGTGATTCTACTCCCGAGGAATTGGCCACTGCAACCCAAGTCAATGGTCCTTACCTCCCTATTCTACGTGAGAAGGCTTCAGTGGAGTTTGTTAAGGTCACAGACGACATGAAGTCATTCAAGGCATATGACAAGCTGCGTCTTGAACGGACGAATGAGCGCCATATCGGTGCCAGGGCAAAGAGGGCTGCTGAGGCTGAGAAGGAGGACAAAAAATAGTGTCCAACCTCTTCACTGCGCAAGCTAAATGAGTCACTGCTCTTTTTCTTCTGAATCATCAATATTAGCAATTATACTATTGATTGTGTATGAACTTCAAGATTTTCAACATTTATGGATTTGGATACCTGTCTATGAAATGTGTTTTCATAATATTCATGGGTGTTCTACTCTCTTGATCCATGTCAGTCTCAGTTAGCAATTTTAGTCAGTATATATGTTTTTTTTTGTTTGATTCTTTAACACTCTTGTTGGATCTTCTGACCTCAATATATATTTCAATGTACCTAAATTGTTCTTTCTATATGTGAGTAGCCGGAGTATTCTATTGACCTTTTTGGTTTGAGTCAGCGACTTATGAGCGGGTTTCTTGAATTCATCAACGTGCAGAGATGTAGGCATGTGGTTTAATGGTGACTATGTCGCCAACAAACAATTTGTAACAACGTTATGACAGGTTTCCTCGTGGAGTCAAGATGCAACATAGCTAATCAATCACGTGCTTCACTGACTGGTGAGTGCTGGACACGTCTCTCCTTCTCATGTAGTCATAGATCGGGGTTGCTGGATTTATCACGTGCTTCGGTTGACTGGTGAGTGGTGACCATGTCTTTAAATGGTTGAATTGAATGTTAAAATGCATAATAATGACATAGTTGTACAAAAATATGGGTATGTTATAAATATTATTGATTATTGATTGTGGATATTATAGCTGGATTGTGTAACGATCGTAACGATCAAATTTATGTCCATCATTATTATTTTTATGTCTATTATTAATACCTTTCGTTATATATATATTGTTTTAGTATGTAAAAGATTGAATGAATGAAATCTTTTTACTCTCATTTTCTCTCCTTCTCCGTATTGTTTTGGACAAGCATTAGTTTATAAGATGAGAATATATTTTCTGTATATTGATCAAAAGCAGCGGATACAAAGTATATAAAGACATGAAATAGAGATCTAGTCTAATACTACTAGTATAATCCTAATACTCTCCCTCAAGCACAAGGTTGGTCAGCCAAAACATTGAGCTTGCAACGGAGTAAATTAAAATGCACAGACGAAAGAGATTTAGTAAAAATATCCGCTATCTGATCTTTGGTAGAAATAAAATTGACTTGTAATTCATTCTTTGCCACTTTATCACGAACAAAGTGGTAGTCGATCTCAATGTGCTTGCTGCGAGCATGAAACACCGGATTAGCACACAGATTGTCACACCAGAGTTTTGGCACAGAAGGTGGCGCAAACCCGATTTCCTTCATCAGAGAGACGAGCCAAGTAACCTCTGCAGAGACATCAGCCAGTCCTTTGTATTCAGTCTCAGTTGATGAACGAACCACAGTACGTTGTTTTCGACAAACCCATGAGACAAGATTGGTCCTAAAAAACACAGTAAAACCACTAGTAGATTTGCGATGACGCTGTTTTCGTCAAACCCATGAGACAAGATTGGTCCCCAAAAACACAGCAAACCCACTAGTAGATTTGCGATCATCAGGATTGCCAGCCCAATCCGAATTAGAATATGCATGAATATCCAGAGAAGGAGAATAAGCAATCTTAAGACCAAGATGTAGTGTCCCATTTATATACTGTAACACCCTCTTGAGAGCCGCCCAATCCGGAGTAGAGGAAGAGTGCATGTGCTGACACAAACGATTGACTGAGTAGGAAAGATCAGGCCGAGTTACCGTAAGATATTGCAGAGTACCTGCAAAGCTGCGATACTGAGTGGGATCAGCGTATGGTACCACGGCATCAGTCTCGGCCTTCGTGGTTGAAACCGGAGTGGCCACGGGCTTGCAATCAACTAATTTGGTAAAATAGTTAGCTTATCAACTAATTTTGGCTTATTTGATCACTATTAATTGTTTGATTTGGTTATAAAATCAATATAACTGTTTTGTTAATTAACTTTTTGTAATTTCAAAATGTTAAAAATTCAAAAAAAAAAAAAAAAAACTGCTCAAAGTAACTTTTTCAATTAACTTTTTAAGAAAATAAATTATACTAAACAACTTTCAGCTAACATCTAATTTACTAAACACTTTTCTACAATCAACTAATGTTATCAACTAGTTATACCCTCTAATTAACTCAATCAACTAACAACTAACCGCTAACCGCTAACCACCATCAGCTAACAATTATTTACCAAACACGGCCTTAGACTTTTATAGAGGTTTAAGTCTATTGGTATTCAAAAACTTAATAACTTTAGATCTTATCAGAATAGGATTTATGTAGACTTTTCTTTCACAAATATAAATAGTTGAAATTAAATCCTTCAACCCAAAACTTTTTAATTTTCTTTACGGACATTTTTTCTTTATCTAAATCGGGCAAACTTTTTATCTCTTCCTGTCAAAAGTTTATGGTACGTATACACTTTTTATTGTAAGATTGTAGGAAAGTGTATGAAAATTCTGAAAGTAAAATTATAAATAAATTAATTAATTAAAAAAAAAAAGAAAAAAGAAAAAAGAGTAACTATTGAATTCTATGATACTTCAATGAGACTGTTTTGTCATATGATATCTGTGATTACCTTAACCTCTAAACATGGATTGTTAGAACGTACAAATGGGCATGTTTGACCTTAATTCTTGATCATGGTCGGCACGACAAAAACCCCAACCAGTCAATCAGTTGCTGGCCTGTTCTTTTCAAAATTCGCCACCTCTGAATCAAATTATCAAACACTTCAATAATTATAATTTGATACCAAAACTTTAATCCCTTCTACTCCATGAAACCAGATTTCAGACAGGACGAAAGCGTTTCGTTTCCGAGGATAAAGTATGGCAGCAGGCAACGCTTATTCTGAATCCTTGAGGCGGAGCTTTATGGGAGCAAGCAGAGAAGGACTGCTATCCAGAGGTGGGTGTTCTTCAGAATTGGAATGGGGGATTCCGTCTCAGTCTACAAACCGAGGTTTTCTCCACGGTTTTCGCGACAGAGTGTCGGCGTTCTTCGGAGATGTTAAGGAGACTTCGATCAAGGCGTATGAGATGGGGCGCAAGGATCCCCGCAAAATCATATTTGCAGCTAAAATGGGGCTGGCTCTCTCGCTTGTTTCTCTGCTCGTTTTCTTCAAGGAACCCCTTAGCTACATTGGGTCTAAATCGGTTTGGGCGATTCTCACTGTTGTTGTCGTCTTCGAATTCAGCATAGGTACCCAGAACATTCTTAATTTTTTGTTCTTGCCCAAATTTGATACTTCAATCAAAGTTCATCAGATTCGAGCTAATAAATGGCAATTCTTATTTTTGGTATTGGGTTCTCTCCTGTCTCTTATAGTTGCTGATTTGTCTGTGTATTATTGACTAGGGGCAACTCTTAGTAAAGGATTTAATAGGGCTCTTGGGACTTTTTCTGCTGGTGGATTATCTTTGGCAATTGCTGAACTATCTTTCCTGGCTGGCAAATGGCAAGAAGTAGTAATTACTATCAGCATCTTTGTGGCAGGTCAGTGATGTGGCTTCAATCTGTTCCCACTACTAGGGGGGATCAATATGGTTTTTTGCCGGTTTACCTCCTTGTGGTCTTTTGCTGGCTCACACCCTCGGGTAGTGGCTGGGGTTTCCCTCATCACCCAAATATGGTTTTTGATTTGTTGAATTTAGAAACCGAATTGAGCCGGCTGATTCAGTTCAATCTGTTTTCCAACCAGTTTGATTCTGTTTAGGTTGGTTTTTGGTTTCTTGCTCACCACCATGAATGGCAACTATGGTGATGCTTTTCAGTTGAGTTTTTGGTTTCTTACCAGAAGGGGCGTTAGCCAACAGAGCTTTCAGTAAACTACTCGTGTTCGTGTTCGGTAAGCGTTCGTTTATGTTCGTTTACTAAGGTAAACGGGCATAAATGAACAAATTTTAGAGCTTGGTTCATAAACGAACAGAGTTGTAGGCTCGTTTGCTAAGAGCTCATGAACAAGCAGTTAAGCATATATATATATATATATATATATATATATATATATATATATATATATATATATATATATATATATATATATATATATATATATATATATATATATATATATAGTTATATAGTTGTTGTGCTGTTTAATTTGTTTGGTTATTCTTTGTGAACATAGATTATTTCTTGTGACCTTGTATCTAGTGGCACCAAATTGCTCTCCCATATGGGAGGTGGAGGCGGTATTGACTCTTTGTGCTTTAGTAGGTTGAGAAAGTAGTTATGAATAGATACTGCATTGTAACAGAGTCAGTACTACAAAAAAAAAAGATTATTTCGAACATGAATACTCAAAAAATCTTTAACAAACGAACACGAACAACCTCTGTCCATTCATTAACAGCCCTAACCACCAGTCAACCAGTTTCTACTTCTTCTAACATAAGAATGTGCTTCTTTTCTTTTCTGTTGGCTTTCTGGTTTTCATTTAAATATGTTGTTGGTGTGAGTCTGTGACTTTAACTCATTTGCTGTCTTTTCCCCTTGGCTTTTCAGGTTTTCTAGCATCTTACTTTAAACTGTACCCTACCATGAAGCAATACGAATATGGATTCAGGGTGTTCTTGTTGACATATTGTATTGTCTTATTATCCGAATCATCACAATTCATAAAAACGGCTGTCTCCCGGTTATTGCTAATCGGGGTTGGCGCTTGTGTCTGCTTGCTAGTAAATGTATGTGTCTATCCCATTTGGGCCGGTGAAGATTTGCACAAACTAGTCGTGAAAAATTTTAAAGGCGTCGCAGATTCTTTTGAAGGTAATCGGTTTTTTTCCCATCTAGTTTTAAGCCTTTGCTTCTTTGACTTCTGCAACGTTTTTTTTAGTTACAGAACGAGAAAATGAGCTTTACTTATCCAGTGACACATTGTATTAGGTTGTGTGAATGGTTATCTGCAATCTATTGAATATGAGAGGATACCTTCGAAAATTCTTCTCTACCAGGCATGGGATGATCCTGTGTACAGTGGGTATAGATCTGCCGTAGAGTCCACAAGCCAAGAGGATTCTCTGGTAACCTATGTATTACCTGATTTATTTATTTATTTATTCTTGAATTCCTTGATACTCTAGTAAAGTTTGGTTTTCATATGATCCTCCTTCAGTTGAGTTTTGCGGTATGGGAACCGCCACATGGTCGTTACAAAATGTTCAGGTATCCTTGGAACGAATATGTG